CGACAAAAAAAAAAAAGAAAGAAAAGAAAGAAAACAGCTCAAAAGACTAGGAGTCCTAGCAGCAGCACAAAATAAGCTGCCCTTGCACTATTGACAAGATAGATCAGATAACCTCTGTAGCTAGAGGATTACCTAGAATAAACTTTATTAAAGTTTACCTTAAGCTTGTTTTGTCTGGTGGATTCAGCACCTCTTTGTCTGCTACCTGAGCACCATCAAACCAGTGCCTGTGACAGCAATCTTAGCAAAACTCTGACTTGAAATGCATTAGTAGGGCAATTAGTGTACGGATGAAATGGCTGCAAGTCAAACAAACTCCATTTTAATTGCCCTCCTGGGATTTGAGGACATTAGGAATGGCAAGTAATATCAGATGCTTAATTGATGCTCTGACATCAACCTAAAACAAGACTCACAAACAAGACAAATTGCAGACAAAGTGCAATTTCTCTAGTCAAGGCATCCAGGGCACCCACTCAGGAAATCCTGGCTTGGGGAGATGACTCTAAATGAAGGACTTTACCATTCACCATTATGTCTTTGGTGAGTCAGAGGGAACCCCTGGGGCTCTTCAGCACAGCACGGTACAACTTTTCAAAGGGCTCCAGATTAAAGTCACTGAAAGTTCCCACTGGGGTCTGAGGCCAGGATCCCATTAAGCAGCCCTACCACACCGCCGGCCATAATTGTGTCGTTGAGAATTCAGAGCAGCGGTTGCTTGATAAGCGAATTTAGGGTGAAATAAAAAAGGAGAGGCAAAAAGGGGGTCTCGTTGGGCCACCATTAGACACTTCATTCGCTCATCACTAATTTGTTTTAAATGACTGAGGGAGAGGTGAGCACTTTATAAAGCAATCTGAGCTACCTTTTTTCCCCGTCTTTCAGGTCTGTGTGACAGAATGCTGATAAAAGAAAACCATTGCCCTTTACAGCCACACGGTATACTGCCGCGAGTAGTGTTTTAAACTGTAGTTATCTTTATCGCAGTACTTGCTTTGCAGTAGGATAATCAATATTGAGGTGGGACCCATTCTTCTGCCTTTTTTTTTTTAAGTCCCCTTTTCTCTCTTAAAGAAACCGGCCACTGCACCAATAGTTAAGACCATATTATTCAGTCTTATACACTATCTAGAAAAGCCATGAGGCATAACAAACTGTTGGAAATTGGATTTTGAAATCACTTAAAGCATTTTACAAACAAGTCAGCTTTTATTGAGCATTTCGTTTTCATGTTTCTGAATGTTACAAACTGGTTTATTTCAACATTTGAGATTTATCCCATCGGAGCTGTTTGGTGTATGATATAAAACATCCTGTAAGCGTGGTTTAAGTAAACCCTAACTTGAGATCTATGCATTTGCTTTTTAAACATCAGTCAACTCAATAACTGAAATGATGGGTAATTGATGTTCTTTGCAGATGACACGCAAAACATTTGAACAACATGAACAGATCTCAAGTTATGATTTAGCTCTGCACAATGAAATTAGTGAGAGAAGTAAACCCTCTAAAACTTACTAATATCTGCAACCCAAATATTCTATTGTCATTCAAGTGCAATAAAGAGAAGGTCTCAGTTGATTGCTTCAAGTGGATTTGCCTTTCTGCTTCTTCTTCTCTGCCTCTTCCTCTTTTTCCTTCTCAATCTCAGCCACCAGGCTCTCAATTTCCTTGGCTTCCAAAATCTGCAAATGTATAAGAAAAAGCCATTATTAGCAAATAAATAAATAAAAGATTTATAAAAATACAAAATCCAACCATCCTTTGTGGGTGGCTCACCTTGAGTGGCTTGTTTCGTCTGATAATTGCAAGTTCAATATTTTTCCCTCCTGACTGGACAACCTGTAACGAACATACGTTGAATTAAATATCCAAATAAATCACAGACATTAACTCCTGTAGCATTGGACTCAAGTTAATATTACGGTTAAACACAAAAGACAATGCTAAACTATTGTGACTGTCTCGGTAAGCGTTTCATTTAGCTTTAAAAATAACAAATATTTGAATAACACTTAAGTTATCATGGAAAAATAAAATGTACAAATTTAACAATGCGCAAAAAAGGCGGTTTTATGGAATGGAGGATTAGATTCTGGCAGAAGGTAATACTCTGACAAAGACAGGGCAGTATTAAATTACTGAAGTGGTATATAAAAATACTATGGAAATTATCGTATCATTTGTAACATGCTCACATTTAAAAAACACCTTTAAAAGAAAGGTGTCATTAGCTACATACAGTATATTTAAATGGAAATATTACTAAAAATGCTTTACAATAGGATTACCCTGGCGAAGATAAAGTGAGTTAATTCAAATATAGGTCAGTACTAATTTTTAACCTTACCTCGAGCAAGGCTTTGATAGTCAGCTTGATTGTTTCATTGTCCCCAGCAATGGCTTCATCTGTGTAATTCTTCTCCAGGAACTCCCTTACAGTTTTTGCACTACGACCGATGGCATTTGCCTGTTTTTTTCAAGTAAAAAACAGATTTAAAATGAATTTCATATAAACCGTGTACTTGACTTGTTGTACAAGTCTAACCCAAATCAAAATGAAGAGCAAGCTCACTGACCTTCCAGGCATGGTAGGTTCCTGAAGGATCCGTCTGGTACAGCCTGGGGGTTCCATCGTCGTCAAAGCCAACAATTAACGCAGAGATCCCAAATGGCCTGCGCCCATTGCTTTGAGTGTAGCGCTACAGATATGACCGATGTAAAGACAGATGTGATGGTCATTCTTACACACCTTTATAACAATCAAATGGCGTATGGTTTCAGTCTTCTGAACTATTCTTAGAGCACACAAACTGAAACTGTAGCTATTTTATGATCACGCCCACTGACTATTGTCTTTTAGTAAACTGATAGTAAACAATAAATGAAGATGGTAAGGTACCTGTTTCAGTGTGGCGATGTAGCGTGTGATGTATTCCACTGTGACTGGGTCCTCTACAGTTAGCCTGTGGCTCTGGCACTCAACCCGAGCTCTGTTTATCACGATACGGGCATCTGCTGTCAGACCTTTAAGAAATTAAAAGAGGTTAGTTGTATGTACAAAATACAGGTAAAATAGAACAGAGACAAAAACCTAATATCTGGTATATACATCTGTAATAACGTAGTGGAAATTATAACGTATATTAGTCCATTTGTCCACTGTGCCATGTTAAATAAGAAAGGAATATTCAGTTTTGAATATTTTCAAGGTTTTGTTGTTTCAGTTACCTGCAAAAGCCATGCAGACATGCTCGTCCAGGGCACATATCTTACGGACAGTCCTTTCTTCCTGCAGCTTTGCCACAGATTTCTTCTCGACACCAAGGACAACAATGTCTTTACCTCTGATTCCCACCTGTGGAAAAATAAATCAAACAGTCAAACAAATAACCAGTCTTCACGATGCCTTCTTTGACCACAGTGACCACTTTCAGACTTAGAGTTAAAAAAGGGTATTTAATAGTTTAGATTCCCATCCCGCACAATTATTACACTGAGGCCCAAGTATTATATCGAGCCTTTTCAACAAAATCGTCTTTCCATTATGGAGATTTCTATCAAACTATTAAGCTGCAAGCTACACTTCTGGGGGTTAAAGGGTAAACCGTGAATAAAGCAGGATTCAATAGACGTATTAGACAATACATTGATTCTACCAGAACTTCCTAGAGAAGCTATACAGTTACACAAATAACTGCACAAGTTATCTCTAAACGATGAATAGGCAACTCAGTGTATTAAAGACTACAGTTAGACTTAGTTAACAGACCTTCCGTTTAATTTAGTGCAACTAGGAGGCCGCCAAGTGCATATATATGGGAATTAGCAAGCAGACACAAAACTGACTTACATTGTATTGTTTAACGTTACGCAATTGGAGTAGCACAATATTATTTAACGGACCAGGTAAACATAACATAATGTTTGTGTAAACGGTGAAATACCCTTAGTTTATCATTATCACAATGAAACTGAAACTACTGTCAGAGTGACACAGCGACAAAATGTTGGCTAGTTCTCATCTTCAGTAACTCTTATTTATTATTGTATTAGTTACATTAAGGAAGTTAAAGATGAGCAGTCCGACACGGTTGTTAAAAATCACAACATCTGAGTGAAAGAGATGTTGTTAAACAACAAAATTAGATAACTAAATACATGACTAACAAGAGAGCTTGCTACTCGCTAGCTTAGCTTGTTGGCTAACTGACGTGCTAACGTTAGCTTAAGCACTTGTTTCATTTTCGAACTTACAGCTGTGGAACCTTTCTTTACAGCTTCCTGTGCATACTCCACTTGGAAGAGATGACCATCTGGAGAGAAGACAGTAATAGCTCTGTCGTATCTTGCCGCCATTGCACTGCAACACAAATACAATCACGAGAAACAAGGAGACTTCCACCAAATGATTCAGCTAGTTAGCAATGTGTGAAGCCGCCCGCCGTGTGTTGAAAACGGCGCATGCGCACGACCTATGAACTGGGGCGATACCAACAGTGGGGGTTTTCTGAAGGAAAGTTGTACATATAATTTGATAATAATAGTCACTATTTGATTTGCTCTGCGGAACAATGTTTTCATCTGACAGTTGTAATACAAAATGCAATGTTTTATTACATGTGTGGTTCGTCAGGTAATGTGGAACGAGGATGCATTGTGTGAACAAAAATCATAAGCCTAATAAACAGTTTTACAAGCTATGATTGGCTCAAACTTCCTGCACTAGCATTTATAATAGTCAGAAACATATTTATGATCTGACTGTTCCCCTTTTTGTTGAGCAGTCCATTTCCCGTGGCCACTGGGACTAGATATAGACTGTTCCACTATAAGGAAAATAGGTGAACGTGTAATTCAATTAAGCCACAGTATGTATGCCTTTGACTACATAAATACATATGTTGAAGTATTGTTCAGTATTTTTATTGAATCGTAACCGAAACTAATATCTTTGTTCTCGAACTAAAAAAATAGCATCGAATATGTTTTCAAATGTGACTAACTCCCCCCCAAAACGGACCACTGCATTACAAAATTGAATCCTTTTCTGAACTGTTTGAGCTCTACCGATTTGTTAAACGTGTTAGCTTCTTTTGAATTTTATGCTCTGGTTCCCCTCTAACTTCCTAGAGTATCACCATGTCGGTGGCGTTTGCACCTCACAGGCAGCGTGGAAAGGGTGATATAACACCCGCTGGAATACAAAAGGTAATTCATATTTTTTAGCGGGTCTCGGGATGGAGGCAATGGTATCAGACGGTGCTAGCCTTTGAGCTAATATATGTAGCAGTGCCCATCCATGTCCAACTGTGAATACATCGGGAACAAATGTGCAGGGTCAAAGCGCGGTGAATATGAACCTCTCTGGAGTCAGTGCGCCACGTGTCGACGAGGGGTTTTAGGTCGATTTACCGGACTAATGTGTAAATGTACTTGAATTGAATGAGGGCCTGTCGTTTTGTTAGCCAAGGACAGCTAACATTAGCTAACAAGATGCGTCTATTGTTAGCTAGAAACGCACACTCGCATATAACAAAACGCCCCCATCCTCCCAATTGTTTTTCAAATTAGAGCAGAAAACCCACCAGAAATAAGAGTGCTTACAATATAAAATTACGCCGTCTAACTCATTGTAAATGTTGTGTAATTACGCGTAACCATAATGAATATGCATTTGCTATTCCAGTTATTAGACGAAAACAACCAGCTTATCCAGTGTATAATGGACTTCCAGAGTAAAGGCAAAACAGCAGAATGTTCACAGTAAGTTATGAAAATCCCTTCTTACCTGCTTGTTGCAGTATTTTTAAGTTAACCTTGACTTATAACCTATATGGATGACTCTCCACCTGCCCAGGTATCAACAGATGCTTCACAGAAATCTAGTGTACCTGGCCACGATAGCAGACTCCAATCAGAACATGCAGTCTCTCCTCCCTGCTGTGAGTATTGGTCCTTGCTGTTTGTTTTGAATGAATGAACTGTGTATACCAGTGTAACCTCTCTGCATCACACGGTAATGTTGAGCTCTTGTTTTAGCAAAGACTTTAGGAATTGGTTCAGGTAAAATATCAAATCAAATGTGTTAAGAAGCTGTCATGTCCCACACGAAATCATATTTAGAAACTAAAATGTATTATGTCCTGATTATTTTCATTGTTTTGCCCCCAGTCTGAGTCTTGTAACAAGATATCTGTTTAACACTTTATCAGTTTGCTTGTCATGATGAGTACTACAGAGCCTGTGAAAACAGTTGTATCATGAGTTCTGTCCTTCTCAGTGGAGTTTTCCAATGTTTGAAAAAATAACCCCAGGGATGTCAAAGTTATGGAAAGAGTTGAATTCCACATTTTTAAGCTTGACCCATACAATGGAGTTTAAAAGCTAGATGCATTAAAGTGCTCCTCAAGTATTAATGTTTGGTATTGAAATATCTCGGATCATATTTATGAATGAAACACCAGTTTGGACGTGTTGTGTGCACTTCAATTTGTAAGATATACTTATTTGGGTTTGCTAAGATTAATTTAATATTTAGAAAATACACAGACACGCTTTTTTGTGGTCAATCATCATTGATTAATTGAAGTCATCAGTTAAACTCCATGATACTTTGTTGCAGAGATCTTTTTGTCTGCTTTTCTTCTTGAGTTTTCTCTTTCCAGCGGATCAGGCTCAGATGTGTTTTTGAGTCAGCTGATGTGTGTTTTTTGTGTGTCTGTGTTGTGCGCCTGCAGCCGCCCACTCAAAACATGCCCATGGGCCCTGGTGGGATGAACCAAAGTGGAGCCCCCCCTCAGCCTCCTCATGGTCACAATATGCCCTCTGAAGGAATGGTCAGCGGTGGCCCTCCAGCCCCTCACATGCAGAACCAGATGAATGGACAGATGCCTGGTAAGTGACCCCCCCCCCCTCACCTTCCTTCCCTCGTCTTTCTCTCTTCTCTCTTTGCCCTTCTTCTCCCTCAGTCCCTGTCTCTCTTGGGTTGCCTAGCAACACCATAGAACTGTGAGGGAGGTTGCTCTGCTGAAGGATGATGTCACCTTTTTGCCAGCGCTGGTGGTCTTGGACTTGTCCTTCATTTGATCATGGTTTTCCCTCCATTTTCTCAAGTATCATGCTTTTGTTTCAGCATCTGTTTTGTATGTTTGCAAATGTCAAAATATATTTTTGGACTTAATGCAATAGAGTTGGTTTTCCACTGGTAGTGTGTTCACTGTTCAGTCATTCAGTGCCATGCTGTTTCCTGGATTTCCATTAAATGCTCACAACAGGGATGATCTTTTTTTAGCTCCTGCACCATGAAAAAGTCTCATGGAAGTTGTTTCATTTGTTAATATAAGCTGTTACATTTAGCGTTGACTTTTGTCACAAGCTTTAACATTGCTGAAAGAGAGGAATGGCTGAAGAGATAACCCAACACAAATGAACTGTTTAAACAAGAGGTGCAGGTGATTCATAACAGTTACTCACAGCTTTGGTGAACCCCAAACCTCCAACATGTCTCCAAGGTCATTTCTATTTATTTAAAATATGTTTTCTTCTTCTGTGATATAAAAACAGAGCCTCAGCTAACAGTCATTTACAGAGCAACAGTGTTATGGAAATGAACACAAAAGTATGTGCATTAAATATTTATGTGGAGAGTCATGAATCATCTTTGATTTCCAGGGCCCAATCACATGCCCATGCAAGGTCCCGGTCCCAACCAGCCCCCGAACATACCCAGTGGCTCTATGAATATGCCCCCCAGCGGCCATGGCTCGATGGGTGGTTACAACCACACTGTCCCTTCATCCCAGGGCATACCAGCCCAGAGCCAAATGAACATGACCCAGGGCCAGCCCATGGGTAACTACGGGCCCCGGCCAAACATGAACATGCAGCCCACTCAAGGTAAAATACCCAATTTGTTTGTTTCCCCTTGTTTTCTACTTTATCATCTTTCTTATTGGTGTGTCCCGCACATCATTTAACTGCATGTGATAAGCGGTAAACTGTTTTCATGTTTTTTTCCGTTTGTGTAGTTTAAGGGTTAACTGTTATTGTTGTTCCATAGGCCCCATGATGCATCAGCAGCCTCCCTCTCAGCAGTATAACATGCCTCCTGGTGGCGGTGGACAGCACTACCAAGGACAGCAGAACCCAATGGCTATGATGGGACAGGTCAATCAAGGGAACCATGTCATTGGGCAGAGGCCAATGCCTCCCTACAGACCCCCACAGCAAGGTATACCCGTCAAAGTGTGTCTGTGAAGTGTGCGAGTTGTGAGTGTCGGCCTTTCTTCTCCCTAACCCTCCCTTTTTTTACTCTTGTTCTTCTCAATTTCCTCAATTTCCACTTCTGCAGCTCACAGACATCTTGATGACTAAACATGTAACCCAAAGGGTCCAATTATAAAATTAGTCAAGGGACCAAAAGTAAACCTTCAAACAAGAACTAGCGACAAGGAATCCATCCTCTCCACTCTTCCCCTCACACGACCGATCCAACAACACCTTGAATCTACTTGTGTGTATGTTGTGTGTATGTGTATGTAGGACCCCCTCAGCAGTACCCAGGGCAGGAAGACTACTATGGGGACCAGTACAGTCACGCAGGACAGGGAGCCTCAGAAGGTAGGAGAACCCTCCAGTCATTTGGAGAAAACCAACAACCAAATAAAACCCAGGTGTTGTGTTAAAACACAAATGATGCAAAGAGACTGACAATGTTTCAGTTTCTTCATTATTTTCTGGGAAATCAAAAGTGACTTTGGGCTCAATCAAATAAAAATAATATGGCCTCTAATTTCGAGAAAAACACCCACATGCCAGAGTGCACTTTCCAAAAGATGCTGCAGTCATTAGATAAGTTAGCAACTACCCAGTGTCTTCCGTCTCCCCCTACTGTGGCTGTTGCTCCACCTGTTGCTCTGAAAGGAAAGTCAGGGACAGAGTCTTGTGTGAGTCTCAATGGCAAAAGTTGTGTTTTAAGTAAAAGGTTAATTCTTCAGATTGTCATTGAATAAAGATTGCAAACATTTTGAGCACACTGATTTGCAGAAGAGCTAGTGACTTGTAAAAAAAATACAACACTTGATATACTTCCAATGTTCTCCATGTTGGTGTGTTTATGGGGTGACATATTACAGATTCAAACCAACAACTCCTTCTCTTTCTTTGTTCAATTAACATTTACTTATTTGTTTCCTTTATTTTTTTCTCTACACTGACTGCCCTTTTCTTTTTTTTACCTTTACCTTTTACATGTGTTTTTTCTTTCAAGTCCAGCCATTTCAAAAACAATACGCATGTCACTAATACACGGCTGGTTTATGAGTGGCTGTTTTCTTTGCTGTTGCTCTGTAGTTGTAAACGTGTTTCTCACATGGCGTGCTGTTGCCTCTTGAAGGTAATGCCCAGTATGGCCAACAGCAGGAAGCCTACCAGCAAGGCCCCCCCCAGCAGCAGGGCTACCCCCCTCAGCAGCAGTACCCAGGGCAGCAGGGCTACCCCCCACAGCAGCAGGGTTACGGTGAGTTGCCTTCTCTGGAATAGGGGCACATTTCTGTCCTGCAGGAGGCAGTATCGTCTCTCTTTATGTACCTTTTTGTTCATCTGTTGAATACTAATTCCTCCTTGGTAAGTTGCTGTTTACTGCCCCTTGGACATGTAGCTGTGCCAAATGCATGTCAAGACATCGTCAAAAGCAGGGAATTAAAGAAGCACCTTAATGAATGGTTGGGGATTGGAGCTTGGTGGAAGAGAAATGTAATCAGTATCGTGGTGTAGGGCTGTGCATCTTCACTGGTCTCACGATTCGTTTCGATTACGATTATCCTGTCAACGATTCGATTCAATTCGATATCCCGATGCATCACGATTCATACCAATGCGTTGCATCCTCAATTTTCTATATTACTGCGCATGGCTTATTTTTCATCAATGCATACATGCAGTAAATACATATGAACTCTCTTTTTATTATTTAGAAAGTGCTTCAGAAATCAATAACATAAATGTCTTGACATTCATTTATAAACCAAAATAAATGAATTGTATAGGTCTAGCCTCCGTGTGTGAAGTTGTTCCATCCTCAAAAACAAAAAAATAATGCTTCTGCAGTCTAGCTGCAGCTTCTAGCAACGGTCTTCTGTTAAAAAAAGGACACTGAATGTCCTGAATGTGGCATCACACACAGGACTTGAGTCTGAACGTCTGAACACAGCAGACAGGAGTATTTACAATAGCATATGCAAACAAAAATACTGTGGGTGCACACTTACATTCTCTGTCTTACTGTTACATAAATCCCATGAATGTATGAGATTAAGTTAGCTTCATTATATCTCAGTGATTAAGTGAATAATAAAGTTTCTATTGGGTCACTATCAGCCTGTCACTCATTATTTTCAGGGAGGGGGCGGGGTTTGGAGGAACGGAGAGGAGACGGTGATCGCGGAAGCTTTTTTCCTCCTGCCTTCACAAACTTTACACACGTATATATCGTCTGAAAATTGCTAGAGGACATTCATACTTTGCAATCCAAGACTTAATTAAATCCACCAAAAACCTGACATGATTGTAACGCGATTATTTTTGAAAAACATAAATCTCTGAGCCGCAGCGACACGGAGTGATTCAGAGCGGGTCCTTCTGCTGTTGGTTCTGGACTGGTGTTGTTGTGTTGGTGGATAAAGCAGACTGCTCCGTGTTTGGTGTTGCTGTGCCGCTGTCACGTCTGTTCCCTGATCTCTGCGTCACCGACCGATTTGATATTAAAGTGACAGAAAAAAAAAAACGTTATAGTAAAGCCGCGGCCGGAAAATCAGGAAACAACGTTACTACGCTATAACCGATTATCTTCCGTCACTGCATCGAGACCGAATCGTCCACGTCCGCATCGCAATGCATCGTAGAAACGATTATTTTCAACACCCCTATCGTGGTGGCTGGCACCACATTTGCATTTCTCCTGGTGCTTCAGTTTGATATGACGCACTGTTCTGAGGGAGTGGGAGAGCAGCTTTGGCTGATGGGTACAGACATTGGGCAAAGTGTGTGTTGACTGCCAGCTAAACATTTTGAACTCCTAGCATTTTGGATAAAAAGTAAAGCAACATGTAACCAGTACATATCCTAAAATTAACAAGAAATCATATTAAAACAAAATGTGTAAGGTATATGACAGAAGATTGTAACTTTGACTGGTTATGGCTTAACTCATAATAATTGAACATTCATGACAGTCATGGAGATCTTAACACATACATTCTATTGTTTGTTTTTAAATGGCTTATTGGGCTGGCCCCTCAGCACATCTCCGACCTCCTACAAGTGTACACCCCCTCAAGGGCTTTGAGGTCGGCTGATCAGCTGCGGCTGGTAGTCCCTAAAACTAAGAAAAAGACCAGGGGAGACCAAGCCTTCTCAGACCCATGTCAAATGGTCCCCCACTCTTCAAACTTTTAAGTCCCGCCTAAAGATCCACCTCTTTCCCTCGCTTTTGACTCAGTCTGAGCTATGCTCTACCTATTTGTATGCTTTATTGTCTGTCCATAGCCTATATGTGTGCCTTGTATCTATTCTTATGTGTGCCTTTTATATATTCTTGTAATATTATATTTTGTTATAATGTTATGTTCTTTTTAAAGCACTTTGGCAAACCCTCTGTTTTTAAAATGTGCTATAGAAATAAAGTAGATTGGATTGGATGCTAATCATGAATAGGTGAAAGTCTGGGAGTCTTAAGTTAGAGTTGACTTATAGTGGTTCCATATTTATATGTTCAACTTTAGATTATTCACATCAAGTGTGGGGCTTCAGATTGAACCAACATAAATAACATAAAGGAAGGAAAAAAAAGGATTCCACTTGCAATATAGCTATTTGGGCTCTTGCAGCTATTTGGTCTTTTTCCTTCATCATCCCATTTCTCTCCAGAACTTTCCATCAGTCACTGTCTGTCTGAGCCCGAGCTCCTGTTAGTAATGAGCTGGTGGTGAGGCAGAGGCTGTGAGGTGAGATCCATCTGGCACACACGCATGCTTCCTCTCGCAGGCCCCCACAAGGTTATGCTCTACAGCAGAAGACATTATGAGCTCCTAACGATGCTGTGTGGGTCTCATTTGACTTCAGCCACAGTCAGGGTTTGCGTGCTCCTCCACGGCACCTGCATAGATAGCTACAGTGTATGTGGGCTGATGAAATGATTTTTATTTTTCCCTCCTTTTTTTTAATGAAGCCTGCTTCTCTAATGAAGACCAACAGAATCTCCTTGATGTCTTCTTGCATTAGGGAGCCTCCAACCTGACTCACCCATTCTCATTTTCAATCATTACCGAGTCAGACGTGGAGGCAGCCTAAACAAATGGGTCTGACATACCCACCATCCTGTCTTAGACATCCATCAGCCTTTTATATTGCAGCCCATTAGTAATAGTATACTGAGGGATTCCATAGAGTTCTCAGAGTAACAAGTAGGACATGGAAACAGTTAATGAGCAAAACTTGGGCCGGTTCAGTTGTTGTCCATCTCATTTTAAGTTGGTATTAAGAATAGCACTCTGCTTATTTAAAAGAAACTAAGGGACTACACTTAATTTTGTCGACTCAAGCATTTTCTGTCAAATTGATTTTTCAATGTTTGTTGTAGGTCCTTCCCAAAGTGCCCCAGGACAGTATCCTAACTATCCTCAGGGGCAGGGGCAGCAGTACGGAGGGTACCGCCCCCCCCAGCCTGGACCCCCACAGGGCCAGCAACAACGCCCTTATGGCTATGACCAGGTGAGTATTCCCACAACACCGGACAGTCACAGCGACTAGTTGCCACATCGCTCTTAGTTCGTCCCGTATTATGTGTATTCCAGACTTAGTTGTATATTTTGTTTAGTGAGACCAGAGACCAATGTGTTAAAAGGTAAATATTAAAAGTAGGATGTTTTGCATGCTCATCATATTGTGGGGTTGAACCTGTTCTCCCCAAAAGAGTGTATGTGTTACTTTTGTCTTGTTTATTGAGTCTTAGTTATATATCATGGCTTATAAGGAATGCCACTTGAGTGAAATACGAGGTCTTTAAGAGAATTCTTCCTTAAACTTGATAAAGACTGCTCCAGTGTTTAAAGGGAGATCCATTTGTTGCCCTGTATTTCCTGTGGTCTTATGTGGGGACCACAGCTATACTTTGATATTTGTATCTTTGAATATTCAGGGGCACATGAGGAAATAAAGACCCGGGGATTTGAACCCCTGACTAGCTCTGTAAGAAGCAAAGGTAATGGTTGCTGTGAAGACCTCAACGTCAAATCTAGACGTTTGACCACCTAGCTTTAATTTGCATTTGTTATGTTTCTTCTATCTCTCTTTTGTCTTTATCTTTAGTCTATCTTTCTCTTTTTAAGTTTCTTTTTTCTTTTGTTATTAACCAGGGGTCGAATTGTAAGTTATGAGGTCAGAAACACAGCATGCTTAGTCTGCAGGGAGACAGCGGAAAGCTTACTGCTTTGGCTGTGTCCTTAAACTCTACTATCTACAACACTGGTTTTAAGGATGACTGTGCTTAGGATAACATAATGCGTATTGGAATTCAAATGTTTTGTATAAATGCCTTTTTTTTTTTAAATAAGTTTGTTTTCAAAATTGGTGTCCATTGTCATTTCCATCAATGCCAAACACATACTTCGACCCCTGTTTTAAGAATGCATCTGATACTACTCTTACCCTTACACTGTCTCACTTGAAAACAAGTGTCCACTTTCTAAATGGGACTATCCCGGGTCCTCAGCCATGTTGCTGCAGAAGCCTGAAGTAAACATATAGAATTCTCAAGCTCTCAAGTTGTGAGTCCATGCTGCCACCTGCTGGTCAAAACCAGCAGATGCAGCCATAACTCATGGTTTGCATTATGATATGGTTGAAACCACGGATGATTTGCACCCTTTTGAGAACATTTGTAAATATAAGCTTTTAATATCTGTTTTTTTAATAAACCAGTAACACAAGTCTTTCACATTTCCTCCACAGGGCCAGTATGGAAATTACCAGCAATGAGAGATGGTCCCAGCAACCCACACCGCTCTGATCTGTCTGAGCTTTGACCTCTGGTCAACTGCAAAGCAGACTCAAATGATGGTTGTAGCTCGCTGAGATTCTCTCTGACATGAACATACAACACTCAAAAATACAAGATACGTTTTCCCATCTCTTTGCCTATAAGATGTATTCTTTTTATCATGTACATTGACTTGATAATGTCAAAGTCCGCGATTCACCCTCCGGTCCAGTATGTCTCACAGCAGCAATGCCTTAAAAAATGGAACTGCCTTATCCTTTAGCATTGCAGATTGTGAAACGGACTGACAACATTTTCGATATCAGAGACAATTTAAATGAACAGTTTCAATCTACTGTGGTGCATTGTTTCTCTATCCTTTTAGCTCGATGTTTATAAGAAGCAATAATGCCAGCAGTAGGGAAATGTGTGTGGGGGCTTGAAGATGAAATAATGCACCAGATGAACTTCCCGCTAGGCCATGGTACGTGTCTTGATGTATGTGATGATGTATAAATATATTTTATGCTTTTTAGATCAAGCTAACTTTGTATAAGACATTGGGAACTAGTACTAAAGCTGTTGTTTATTTCATGAAGTGTATGTGTCAATGTTTTTTTAATGATGATGCCATCCAGCACATATAGTTTTTTTATGTTGAGTTGTATTCCTATTCAATTGGATCTGCTACGTCAGTGACGTGTGCGCTGTATGAATTATTTGTGTAAAAATTAAACATTAAATGACATGAACAGAAAATCCGTGAAGGAAAAATACAAACATTATCCCTGGAATTAGAAAATGCTTAATGTCTGGGAGCACATGGACTTGGTGGATTCTGTGTTAAGCTGTGTATTTAAGTCTGGAAACTGTCAATATCAAATGTTGGTCATGAACAGATTTTTACTTTGTTCCACATTCCCTGACAGAATAAATGCAACAGGCCTTTGACTATCATGCCCTAATAGGTGACATGTAGCAGATGCCACTGCAATTTGTCAGTCCATTCTCTCTGAGCCTTTTCTCTTCATGAAAGCACCACAAATATTTCTGACAAGTACATTTTGTTTTGTTAGTCTTGCTAATGCTGGAATCCCCTTTTCCCTTTGAATAAACGTCTGAGTTGATGTCATTCAAATAGTGTTGTGTGTGAATAATAGAGATTGTTACTATCAAATATGTAACATAAGATGTGAAAATAATGTTCTCAAATGGATTCCTTAGTTTCACAGTAAAGACTGGTTGTGCAGTTTTATATCACTGGCTTGATATCTGTTTCATGGTGCATACTTTATTGATCCCATCTGTACAGCGGTGTGAAGAAGAGGAATTCACTGTCCTCCGATATTGTTTATATGGCTGTTTTAATATTTGGCATTCTGCACCCCATCCAAGTGGTCACATTTGTGTCATGGCAATGTATAACTGTACATTACAATAAATTGGAAGAATCTTTAATACACCTTGACTTGTTATTTATAGCATTTGACCTTATATTGAGATTAACTGTGAAGTGCTAAATCATTCATCCTGATGACAACATACATAAACAAGATGTGCACTATTGGTGCTGTCATAATGTGACAGTATGATATAATTGTTTTGTCTTCATCTGGCATCAGGTAATCAGCTTCCTACTGATAATGACCCTGCACCGCTCAGCAGCATGTCTGCCTTGTCCAGATGCATCCAGAGAGGTCCAGAGCACATTTACACCCAAAATTACCTTCCGTGTCCCTCCTTCCCCCTCTGCTCCCTCCAGAGAGGGAGAGGGACTACCTGTCACATTGGGGGGAGTGATACAGATGGTACACCAGATGTGTGGCCGAAGCACATGATGGGAGAGTGGTGTTGGTGTTAAGAGGGCCACAGACTGCTTGGGTTGCCTTGGTGCGGATGATGAGTGTGTGTGTGTGGATGCAGGTGCTTGCAGCAGAAGGGAAGTGTGAACTTCTTGAGCATGCCTACGTATAAAATGTATATGTGCATTTGTGTATCCCTGGTCAGGTTTAGTGGCATCTCCTATCACCCCGCCATCCTGCTGCTCCACAGCTGGCCGCCCCACCCTTCCCAGCTGCCACTGGGGCTCCCCCCGGCCCCTTTGCCTGGCAGAGCTGGCGTTTTGGGCGCTCCCCCACCAGTCCTCCCTGGCAGCTGCTGCCCTCAGCTGCGCTCTCGCAGACGGTATTGGGGTCGGACAAAGTCACTCCTCCTGTGGCTGTATCTGAGGCCATTGGGGGAGGATGAAGAGGTGGCAAGGAGACTCTTACCTCCTATGAAAGATCTCATTTAAACTCTCATGAATTTAACTGGATGGACACAGAACTAAAAGTGAGGTATAGGAGGAATTCTGCTCAAGAATTTCTCTAAATGATTAGCGTTAGTGTAGTCCTGCACAGAAAACATGACTTGGGCTGTGTTCTTCTAAATGAGTTATTAGGAGAGATACAGCAGGACAGCATTGCATTACATCATTTGAGAGGATGATTATCTTGTTCAATATTTTGATAATTATAATTCAGGGCACCTTTCAGAGGAGGCTCCTAACCACTGAGGAGAATATGACATTGTGATCATAGCTGGCAGGCAAGATGTGCTCTCTCTCTCTCTCTCTCTCTCTCTCTCTCTCTCTCTCTCTCTCTCATCTCTCTCTCTCTCTCTCTCTCTCTCTCTCTACTCTCTCTCTCTCTCTCTCTCTCTCTCTCTCTCTCTCTCTCTCTCTCTCTTCTCTATGTCTCTCTCTCTCTCTCCCACTAACTCTCCCTTTCACTCTCTCATACCCACACTCTCAGTGTGACAGAAAGTCTATGGGGAGGTATAAGAGGTAGTTATGGGGGGAATGCAGCAGCCTCCACAGTTTAATTGGAGATGTGTCACACTAAATAAATGGTGCAAAAACAAGCGCTGACTGGAGGCTTGAGGGAGGGGCCCTGGGGAGGCAGCCTGTTTTATTGGGCAGGAGCTTTGCACCGCTCTAGGGTGAACCGGGGCTATGCACTGCTGAGATACCCTCCAACCACCAAACCACCAGAAGACTACTGTGGAGGAAACAGACATTATTTTAACTCTGCAGAAAATCCTCTTATTGGTGCTGAAGAGAAGGTGTGGGTGAACTTGGTGACCCCATTGTTTCTCCTCCAATGAGGGTCAAATCATGGTCTTCATCTGCAATTTCAATTTCTGCACACTGGTGAACAAATCCATAATTGTAAAATCTCCAGCAAATGCTGTCTGCCTCACTTGCTCCAAGATCTTATGCATGTCAATTTATGTTTTGAGAAGACAGCAGCCAAGAGCCTCCAGCCAATCCCATTTCCCTGTGTAATCCATACATGACCTCCAAGTTGCCAGGAGATGTGTTTTCCAATATTCTATCAATGTTGATATAACTGTTGTCTCGCTATGCTCATGCAGCGGATGTGTGTGTATGTGCACCTTAGATTCCAGAGTTCATGGCATGAGTTTTGATTTACCTCTACAGTGTGCCGCAGTAATTGGATGTGACACCATTCTCTCTGCTCTCCCCGGGGAATGTAACAGGAATCTGACTATTATGACCCCAGTCATGAATATGTCACGACAGCTGCAAACAAAGGCCCGTGATTTGGATAAGACCCCTCTGTATGTTGTCTCTGCACTGATATATGAGATAAATGCTGCAGGGGTAAATTAGTTTTCTGTAAAGCAATTTGCAGTGTTTACAAAGAATGATTAATTGCCATTGTTTGGAGAAAAAAAAAAACTAAGGTATAGAGACATAGAGATGTTCAATATTACACATTCATTATTATGCCTGCCAGATACATACTTCCCTCACAGATATTTGTGTAAACCATCATATCCAGTTTTGAACTACTGAGAATATTTTTTGGACCTGACATATACAAACAGGGTGATCCCCGAGAAAGACATTGTTTTGCATGCATCTGATGTGCAATGCTTTGTTTAAATCCCATCGTTTGTTAAGGGTTTAGCCATCAAATCAAATTGAGTGTGATGTTTTGTATGTCTTCTAGCCTCATAAAAGTAGTCTGAGTGAAATAGCAGGTATGCTGATATCAGTATTCCCACAGCCTGCATAATTGCTGTAATTTGCTTTCCCTTTGGGTAATCTGTAAACATGGCTGTTTCGATGTTTTTGGCATCCTCCATTGGCTGAGCTCTCCACTCCTCCAGTGGAGACCCATCCCAGCCCAGGGTGACACAAATAGATCCTTCCCCAGAAGGTGCACGTAGTTCCACATGGGCACAATCAATACAGCCCAGTAACCATTGGAACTGTGGCAGTATTAAAAGAACCCCGTGAGCTGGTTCTCACCATGCCGGCGTTTTAGGGAAATAAAGCTATTGATCCTCAGGGGCCTCTGGTGGAGCATTAACCTGGGCCGACAAATTAGAACGTGCTCATCTGGACACATCTGCCTGCAATGTTCCAAAAAAGCCAGTCCCAGGGAGAGAAAAGGAGGGCTGTGAGGCCTGCTGCTTCCAATGATGAGTAGTGCGCTACTTGACGTCCTTGTCGGAGCGGGGGAGGTGTCTGGATGCCCAGGACTTCCATTAGAGGCCCAGGATGGTGGCATGGGTCGATGTGGTAAGGGTTGGTTGGGGGTACTCCATCTTAGATCAGTGTGGTTCCTTCCCCCTGATGTAGAGAGAGAGGGGGCTGACCCACAGTAAACCTAAGCTCCTGACTGGAAGGACAATGAAAAGCTGCTGCTTCAAATGCTCGAACGATGTCAAAGACCTTTGCACAATTTGATATCAAAATATCAAAAGACAGAATTTACATACTATTCAATTTGAGATTTCCATGCACATTCCCTATAAATCACAATGCAAACAGTAAATATCCATCTTGTTTGAAGTATTATGTAGCAGGATTTAGTACAAAAGTAAGCTGTAATTTCCATTTTTAGATAACATTTGTCTGCAAAACCTGGAATTACACTTCCCTCCATGCACCATGAGGCTATCCGAGCCATTGATTTAAATGTATCACTTGCTGTGTGTCAGAGAAATCAGTAATTATATTTGACTAGATCAGATACTGGATACACAGAGATCGAAACACAAACACAGTTATATGCATCTACGTGCACTGACATAGTTTTAGTAAAGACCTTTTTGATTCGTATTCCTTTATTTAAACCATATTTTGCTGACATCAACCCACCTGTATGACATTTGACCCCGGCCTGACCCCTTTCCTTTACCACCAAATTCGATTAAAAATGAATTTTGGAGTTTCATTTTACTTGTACACCACATTTAAATGTCACTGGAACCCTAAGAGCTGTTTTTTTGCATAAGAAACATTAGCATGATTAGTGTTTACTGATCAAGAGAATCCATGTATCTCTCCTAACAACACATTTCACCAGCTATGCTCACACAGAGACACTTTGGGAACTTTCCATCTCTTTTTTTCTCCGCCTGCCCTACCAGTGGGAAGCCTGGAAGTTCTCTGCCCCAGTTCTCCATGTCCTTGAGAGTTGTGCCTTCGGGCCGGGGCGGGTGGGGTCCCGTGGTGCACAATGTGTGCTTCTCACTCAGGCTCCCGCTGTACTCCGCCGCCCCTGCATGGCTCTGGAGACTTGCCAAACTCTGAGGGGTTGTCTGTGCGAGTGGGGGAGCGAGCACGTTACCACAGAACCGCTCCAAACATCTCACTTCCTTCCCCCATGACGGTCGACCGGATACAAATCACTCTCCTGGATTGGCCGACTACAATGGGAAGCTTGGGAAGATGTTGTTACGAATAATCAGTGTAATTGCAATAAACAGTGTGAAGTGATGTGCAAATGACTGAGGATGTTGTTCTTCCACATCCTGCTTTGCAAAGGTTAAACGGTGTAGTGTGCGTGATGCCAGTTCAGTGAAGTTAACAAAAGCCATGTAAGATAAAAAGGCATTATTCAACTTTTGTTTGATTATGAAATTAACATAAGTAAGGGAAATTATAGAGGTTGGTCATAATTTGTAGCTGTATATGTTTGACAAATCCCTTTATATTTTATTCAGTACATATGCGGTGTGTTTTTTTCGTAATTAATATGGATATTGGCCGACAGCAAAGATAAAGATCCATTTTCTATATTTTGTCCTTGGATTGTGCACTCGGGGAATTCACTCCCCCTTTTCTCTTTCGTTTCCCTGGCTAAGGCATGGGGAATTGGTGGGATAAGAGGCTATTCCCTAAATAGCCCATGGCAAGAGGTATCCTGATTAGCATGCTGCCTGCTCTCTGGCAGCAGTCCTCCAGGCCACCAGCGCTATCACTTACGTGCTGTTTGTATTTGTAGTTGATAGTGTGTGCTGTTATAATTGGAATGAGCTCAGGAACCTCGTTTGCTTTTGATCCGCTGCCAGCCACTCAGAGTGCTAGTGGGCCACAGCTCTCACCTCAACACTCCCAGTGGATTATGGGGAACTGCAACGCTTATGTTCTAAAAAGCGCCTGAC